CTCACTATCCAAATTTTCATAATGCACCGTATGGTGTCAAGCGCTGACTCGAAATCTCAGAATAACACACCACGACATTTATGAAGCTGGTGTTGACCTTGCCCTAGTCGAGGGTGAAGGGCTGCACATTGGTGAGCATCGCGCCAGACATGTTCAAGCCGTCTAGGTGGGCCTTGAACCGATCTTGGTTGGTCGCCCACGGGTTCATTCCGCACGTGTCGTAGGCGTCGGCGATCCATCGACGAGTGCGATTGTCCTTGTTGATGTCGGCGTAGACCTTCTCGACAAAACCGAAGACGCGGTCGCGTCTGACGCGAAAGAGATCGCCCGGCGTCGCATCGTCCAGGGCGTCGATGCGGTGACCGTAGTAAAGCTCGCGGAGTCGAGACTTGATAGGCTTGTTCAGCGCGATGTCGCCGACTTGGTGAATGCTCGTCATGCCTTCACGGATGTCCTCGAGGGAGATGCGTCCTTCACACTCGGCTTTGACAAAGACGTCGACGGCTTCGCCAAAGTGAGTCGTCGACCGGTCCACGAAGACACGCGGATCGTGTCTTCTGAGGGCTCCTTCTCCTGAGTGCCACAGTGTTGGGCGGTGCGGATAGCTCTTGGCAGAGAAGACAAACAGACCCCGGGCCGTGAAGGCGACGGTTTCCACGTCGATACCGAACGCCAAAGTGACGATGCACACGACCGCCATGTCCTGTACTGCGCCAGACCGGCCAGAAACACATCAAAGTTCTCGGTGTGGACGCCGAGTTGATGATGGATGCGAGCACAAAGCCCTCGATTTTCACCAGAAGCGAAGTCGAAGAGACGGCCACGGAGCTCCTCGGCACTGGCACAGTTGAGGTTGCGAGATGCCACGATGCTGTGGAAGAGGCAGTTGCCGTCGCCGGGGACGTCGATGACGGAGAAGGTTTGCTCGTTGATCATCACAAAGGAGGAAATTGCGGTCATGTTCATGCTGGCTTGGGGGACGAGGTGCAATGTAGGAATGAGAGTTGAAGAACATCAATTTAATTAGGTACCGGTACCGCTCAGGGTCACGCAAGTCTCTCTCCCAGAGGTTTCTCCCAGTGCCGATGTTTCTTTTTCAAAAATTGGATCGTGCAAAAACCCATCTACTAGAGGAATTGAACCCGCGCCGCAACAACTCGCATTGTAAACTGCGAACTCTAACAGCTGCGCTACGACGCCGTAACACATACAACATGAAAGCATCTTTAATCTATAACGTGTAACAAGCTGTAACGCGGCGTATTGTATCACATCATAATAATATTATGATGTGATACAATACGGTCTCATCCAAATTGGGCAGTGGTGTGATAATATCACAGTGGTGTGATAATATCAATATTGGGCAGTGGTGTGATAATATCACAGTGGTGTGATAATATCACAGTGGTGTGATAATATCACACCACTGCCCAATTTGGATGAGACCTCATAATAACTCATTTTTAGGGAAATTGCACATCATAAATTTTCCTCTTTTTTGGCCGATTTGGTGGGTGAGTTGTTTTGAGGTATACGGTATCTACGTGGGTGCCATCGCCGCGACTGTTCTCCGTGGTCCATTTGAGCACCAAACAAAGGACAACATGTGGAAGATCTGGATGCGGCGAGGCCTCATCTCGGAAGGCACCCGTGTGCGGCTGTACAAGTGCTACGTGCTCCCGGTCCTTTTGTACAACTGCGGCACGTGGGCCCTGACGCCAACCAGCCTCGCTGACAGCTTCCATCGTCGGCAGTGTGTCGTCTGCTCGGGATCTTCCACCCGAACACGCTTTTGCCGACGTCGCGCTCTACAAACGCTGCGACAGCGAGCCGTTGAGTACGATCGTGACCGCCAACGTTGGCGCCTTCTAGGCCGCGTGCTGCGACTGGGTCGCGACATCCCGGCCCACGTGGCTGCGGACCGCTTCTTTGCCCCGTTTCTCAGGACGCACCAAGATCACGCTGCCGATCGTCCTGCA